TCTCTGTATCCACCAGGGATTAGCTGGCAACCCTCAGGAATAAATGTCTTTGCAGCTGTGGCTGCTTGCCTGGAGAGTGGCTTCCCCTGCAGACACCCTGTGCTGTGGCCAGGGCAGCTCTGCAGTTGCAGTTTGGAGGTTTCCTTGCTGATGTGAATTGCTTCCTTTGTAGTGCTGCTCAGGAGCGGTGTGTTCTCACCTCCTTCAGGTTATCCAAGCTGAAACAAACTTCCTCCTTTTCACCTTAGAATGAAAATACTGTGACTTTATCCCCTGCCTTGAATAGGAAATTAGTGACAGCCCCCAGCTAATGGAGGGGTTTGGGGCTCGAAATCCCCTTTTAATGTCTTCAGCACCCGATCTGCGCAGGCCTTTGTGTTCTAATCCTTAGATTTCCTGTAATCACCTCCGTGGGTCATGTTACATGAGTTGCTCTTGTGTTCCTGACCTGGAAAGCGTGGGAATGTTTGTGGAGCGGTTCAGTATTCTCAGGTGTAAGCCGATACCCTCACGAGTTCCAAAAGCATCAGAAGCAAACAGTTGGTGGTTTGTTTTATTTACCTTTTGTGTGGTTTGTTTGCCTCGAGTGACCTCCTTATTTTGATCCTCTATTTTTTTTCCCCCCCCCTCTCCCAGGTCTATAATTAGCAGAAGATTTTTCTGTATAGTTGGCACACTGTACCTGTACCGGTGTATTACAATGTACGTGACCACGCTCCCAGTACCTGGAATGCATTTCAAGTGTTCTCCAAAGGTAAACTGCTTCTGGCTGTCCTTCCCATGTTCTTAATCTGCATGTTTCCCCCTTGGCCTGCTCTTAACCAAAACTACCAGCAACACTTTGTCAGGAGTTGTTTCTGAGGGTGGGGAGGGCCTGGCACAGGTTGCCCAGAGAAGCTGTGTCTGCCCCTGGATCCCTGGAAGTGTCCAAGGCCAGGTTGGAAGGGGCTTGGAGCAACCTGGGCTAGTGGAAGCTGTCCCTGATCTTTAAGGTGCCTTCCAACCCAAACCGTTCTGTGATTCTAATTTGAGAACGCTGGTTTGGTGTGACAGGGACATCCTTCCGCAGATAATTGGCTGCCCTTCTCGGTGGAGGTGGTGACAGGTGTTTTGGGGGGCAGTGCAGTCGTTCCCACCCTTTTCAAAACGCTGATTTACACCATTTCTGTGGCATTTTCAACTACTTTGCACGATCAGCAATTTTCTGTCTCCACCAAAGCGGCTGAAGGTGTGCAGCCTGCAGATGTGCCACGTGTGAGACTCATTTATTTCAAACCACCTCAGTGTGTGGAATCCAAATATCATTTGTGCTTGAAAATGGCCCCAAGAGGCTTTCCTGAGGCTGGTGGAGCTCTCTCCACTGCATGTATTTTTGCAGCTGTGGTAGCACAAGGAGCTTGTCACCTCCTCCCGGGTGTAGCACTGACTCACATTTGTTGTGCCAAGGAATAAAGTGGCCTTGCAAAAGCCGTGGATGAAACCAGGCTAGTGAGACAGAGGTGCATTGGACAAGCCCCTTGTGGTCAGCCTGGAAGGGTAATTCACCTGCTTGGGGTGGAGAATGGGGCAGGGTTGTTGCATCCATCTCATGCCACCCAAAATATCTTAGTGTGCACAGCCGTAAATTGAGTGACAGGCAGTAAAATCCCCGCTGTGACTTGGGGCACGTGCTGCCGTTGCTTGGGTGAGGATTGGCAGGTACAAACAAAGCTGAACTGCTTCAGTTCCTCAGGGAAATCAAGCCAGTGAATGTACCAGCACCAGTACTTTGCCAAGGCAGGATGTTTGCCAAGCCATGTGTGGCTTTTAGAGGGGCCCAGAGTTTTTGGAAGGAGAAGAGAGCGGGAGAGGAGTCAACACTTTGTTTGATCAGTCATCTGTTATGAAATTAAAAAAAAAGAACACAGGTACTTATGGGCTGAAGTGAATAAATCTGCCACTTTGGGGAATTTACAGTGTTGGCAAATCCTTCTCATTACTCAAGTAGAGGCAAGCTCGTGCTGTTGCCCCGATCAGATTAATGATTAACTGGTTTTTCTGGAAAGCTATAAATGCACTGGTGGGAAAAGAATAACTTCTCAGCACCTTACTGAGTTATATACAATTCTGAAGAGTGGGCTTTGGGGAGCGTTTTAATGTTTGTAATGAAGAGTTAGCAGGAAATGTTTAATTCCTACAAAGAACCTGCTGAAGTCCGTCAGAAACTCTTTAATTGCCACTTCTTGAAGTTGGGCACCGTGCTCTGACAGACACCACACATGTTTCTGTCAGACTGTGAAACGGAAAGAGATAACTTTGAAGACTTTTCCGAGGTGGCCTTAGGGTTTGGAGCGAGATACTCTTCATCAAATCTTGGTTTTGGCAGCTGGATGTACAGTTCATGCTGGTTTCTGTTAGATTATCATCAGTTAGGGCATTGCCCCTTAAACAGAAGGAAAACCTCACATGAACATCAGCTATAACAGGTGCAAAGCATCAGTGAACTCCTGTCTCGCTTCCAGAAGAAATGAAAGGCAGAGTCGCTGGCTAAACCCTTTGCTTTAAACTCTGACAGGTTAAAGCTGATATTTTACTGTGCTTTTGTGTTTTCCTCTTCCCCCAGCTTTTTGGAGACTGGGAATCTCACCTGCGAAGGATAATGAAATTGATCGCTGGTGGAGGATTGTCCATCACGGGATCCCACAACATGTGCGGCGACTACCTGTACAGCGGCCACACCGTCATCCTCACCCTCACATACCTGTTCATCAAAGAGTGTGAGTTCCTGGCTGTTCCTGGTGTATAATTCCGTCCTGATTGAGGGAATCACTGTTGTGCTCGTTGGTAAATGCAGTTAGCGTTAAAATTTAAGTGGTTCACCCAGGGTGAGAGGAAGTGGCCTCAGGTTGTGCCGAGTGGGGTTAGGCTGGATGTTAGGCTGGATATTAGGGAAACACTTCACCAGAAGGGTTTGGGTTGGTTTTTAGTTGGAACTATAGCTCATTTAGTTGGAACTGAAGTTCGTCTTGATCCACCCCCTGCCCTGGGCAGGGACACCTTCCACCAGCCCAGGTTGCTCCAAGACCCATCCAGCCTGGCCTTGGACACTTCCAGGGATCCAGGGGCAGCCGCAGCTTCTCTGGGCAACCTGTGCCAGGGCTTTCTCACCCTCACAGGGAACAATTTCTTCCCACTATCTCATCTAAACACAAACTGATTAATCTGATTGGCCAGGGTATGTTGTGTCTTTTTCAAAGATTTCATAACCTTTGTATTGTCCAAGGATCTCCTTACCCCTGACGCGATTTTAAGTTACACCTTAGGAGAACAGGACTTACTTTGCGATCTCAGCATTCCTGCTCCTAATCTTCCTGCAGGATTGCAGTCCATGACCTCTGCTAATGACAGCAATAGCCTTGATAAGGCTACACTTTGAAATAACCGCTGCTTGTGCTTCTTTGCAGATTCCCCGCGGCGGCTCTGGTGGTATCACTGGCTTTGCTGGGCGCTCAGCATGGTTGGGATGTTCTGCATCCTCCTTGCTCATGACCACTACACTGTGGACGTGGTGGTGGCTTACTACATCACTACAAGACTCTTCTGGTGGTACCACACAATGGCCAACCAGCAAGTGAGTTCCTTCCTCTCTTGGGATCCCCGGGGCTCCGCTTTGCAGTTGGGTGGTGATGGGGGAAACATCCAGGAGGAGTGAACCCACCCGTGTCCTGTGGAGAGTCCCTCTCCGTCCCCTGCCACTGGGTTTGCAGGAAAAAAAAGTCATCACTGCTTGGGTTCTTCTTGTGTCTTGACCAGAGAAAGTTGTGAAGGTCCAAGGCGGGCAGGCCTCTGCTTTCCCCTGGATAGCCTCAGTTTTTTGAAATCCTTCTGAATTTGGGCCGGTTTGGTGTTAGCAGAGCAAACCATTCAGATGTGGTGGGGTTCTTTTGTCTTGGTTTTTTGTTTGCCTCTTGAGGCCAGCTGGGTTTTCTCTGTGTTCTGGGGCTTGTGCCCTTCAGTTCGATGAC